TTTTAATTCTTTGACCTAGGGTTCATTAAATATCAAATGACAGAAAATGATTTTAAAATCATTTGCTGAAAGTACTTTTATCCTTTCAATCAACTTTATACTAAATTTTTAGTTAGTAATATTGTGATGTTTGTTGGCAAATTTATAGGCAAAAATCTTGAACAATATATTACTGTTTCTTATCCATATGTCATTGCATTTACTGATTCTGATCATGAATTTTAGATCAAACAAATTCCACTTAGTGTTTCTTACTGTATGTTCTTTGCACTAGTCATCTGTAAACTAAAGTAATGTAGTAATTCTATATATTTTGACTTTATATATTATTAATACAACTTAATTACAAATTTTAGAAATGTTCAAATGAAATTAAGGATATTTTATCCTATTGATGTGCTATGCTTTTTTAACTTGTATATTAATAACAATGTTAAAACAGGCAGAATGTTTATTGTTTTTGGTTTTATTAGACACATTACTTCTGATTTTACTATAATTGAGCTTATGGACTTTGACTTTATATCTGTAAATGTTAATAAATTTAAAATATGCAAGTAAGCATTTCCTCTGTTACTTCAAGTAATCATTCATATATTGAATTAATCATAAAAGATGTTGAATCTAATACTTTGCAAGCTTAAAAGAAGTCCTATGTAATAGCAACAAAAAATTCTAAATAAAGCACTGGCTCATCTCTTGTTATTAATAAATCTATTGCTCCATTCTTGATTTCTTTAATTCCCAGTAATCCAAACCCTGAAATGATTCAAATCCAAAAAAAAAAGAATATTTGTCTGATTTGGCTTTAAGTTGTCTTGAACTGACCATTGCTGGTGACCTTCAAGATGAATATATTATTGATAAAGATATGTCTAATGATTTGGACCAATTGTGTGAACAAGAATTACTATATAAACAAGATGTTGAAGGGCAAAAATAGAAGAGAAGTAGAAGAATTTCTAAGAAAATTAAAAAATGATTTCTATAATTTATAGAACATATATACTTAACATGATATCTTATTTTATCATAAATAAACTGATTGTTATAATTAAATATTCAATTATAAATCTACCTATTAACAATGGTATTGAGTTCTGATGCCTTTTAATATAAAATCTGTCTGTAGTTAAGACTACAATGTTTATGAATATTAAATTTTTTAGTAATTTTAATTTTTTTATATTCTTTTGTTATATATAAAATTAGGTATATTATATTGTTCATTTATTTAATAAATTATATTTTATTTACCTTT